TCTTAAATTAGAGGGGCAAGGGTTTACAAATAATATCAGGAAGTATTAATTTACTGAGAGGGTAGTGGATGCATGGAATAGCCTTCCAGCTGAAGTGGTAGAGGTTAACACAGTAAAGGAGTTTAAGCATGCGTGGGATAGGCATAAGGCTATCCTAACTATAACATAGGGCTAGGGACTAATGAAAGTATTTAGAAAACTGGGCAGACTAGGTGGGCCGAATGGTTCTTATCTGCCGTCACATTCTATGTTTCTATGTTTCTATGTTGTGGTAGTTTTTCTTCTTTTAAATATGGTCTCCTACTTCACTGTGTTGATTCCCTTTAGTTTTATAAATGTTTTTATCATACCCCGCTATCTCAATACGTCAAGTGAGGTCTCACCACTGCTCTGTACAATGGCATGAGCACTTTGCTCTTTCTACTGCTAATACCTCTCCCGATACAACCAATCATTCTGATGCATATTATAAGTCAATTACCTGAGATTATGACAAATACTTTCTTTCTCTGGAGCTTAAGAGAGTTTATATTGTCATTTATTCCTGGATAAAAATATTTATTTTCAATAACACCATCAATCCTCAACGAGCAACTGTTTGTGTCATTTCCCACAAGGAAAGTCCGACCTCGGTATTTAGGTAACACTGCAGAGGGGTCTTTGCTGTTGAAAACTTGTATGTAGCTAAAAACATTGTAAGTGTACCAAATTATATGGACATCGCTGTAGCCTTTGGGAGAGGTGAATGTGCATGGTATAGTGACACTAGAACCTGTAAAGACAGTGATGGATTCTGGGAATGTGAACGACCAATCCTCACAGAAAGACAAGGAAATCCATCCTGAAAAAACATAACGGTAACACTAAGTTTAATATTGTTAGTAAATATCTTTTTTTAATACTTAAAACACAAAACATTATATAAATCTTTTCTTTACATGTGAATAGTTTTATATGTTTATCTTACCTTGAAGAATAAAACAGAAAAATTAAACTTTTCTCAGAATCATTGGATTGGTTCATTTTTTCATGGATGAGCGTTGTATACTTTATATTAAATAAACCCTTTTCATGGAGAAAAACCTTAAATACACTAATCAGTAAAGTTTCATACAAAATATAATTTTAACAATTTTAATATAATTAATGTGATTTATTATTTAAAGGGACAGGTAAAAAACAAATAACACTAGCTGACACATTTGAACTTTTCACATCTAGCTTGGCTAAACATGGCTGTTTCAGAATAAATCTAGTTCGAAATCAACCAAAGTTGGCACTGAAGTGTGTTATGTTATCATAATATTTAAATCTAAATAATATTAATAGACATATTTTTTTAATAATGATTTAAATAAATTCTAGAAAAGAATGCATATAGAACAAAAATGTTTAATAGCTATATGACAACAAAAATATAAAATAAAATTAAAATATAAAATAAAATAAAATCAAAATACAATAAAATAACAAAAATTCAACAGGTGAACTACATTATATTACATTAAAGTTTCTACTTTTTTTCTTTTATGTCTCCATTCTTCTCTGTGAAGAAACCAACTAAAATCACCCAGCAGACCTTGTTATCTTCTTTCCATGGTACTTATATCCTGGTAAATTCTTTCACCTTGCTCTTCACTAACATAACCTACATTTTCCAGGAATAAATTAAAGGGAATGTCTTTGTTTCTTTAAGTAAATTCCTTCTAACCTGCCTAGATACAAACAAATTATACTAGGCCATCTTTTAATCTCTATGAATTCCATCATCTCCCGACTCTGGAAATCACCCACTATACCAACTGCGGATGAAGTCTTATCTGCAGCATTTGAAAATAAAAGATGTGAATTAGCTTTCCGTGAACCATCTACCTTCACATCTATACTGCAGCACAAATGGTCCATGTGGGAAGATGGTGTGAAAAAGGAATACGGACTTTAACCATGTTCCCACCTGACTGAATGCTTGTTTTACTTACTGACCTTTTGTTTGGTACCATGTAATAACTTATGCTATGAATCTATTTTCACTTCTGTACATACTTTATTTATCTCATTTATATAGGAAACTATAATTTTGATGTGTATTTCACTTGTTTATCTGTTTTATTTGACAACAGTTCATACATTAATGTATTTATGTCATTATTATATTTTCTGTCGTACTATTTAAAAAAAAAACATTAAAAATATATTAGAAATGACGTTAAAGGGACACAATAGGCAACCAGACCACTTCATCTCATTGAAGTGATCTAGATACAGTGTCCCTGCTGCCCTTAATCCTGCAATGTAAAACATTGCAGTTTTTGAGAAAAGTTTGACTCCGTGAAACAACTCTGGTTCCAGCATCAGAGGAAATTTCTATGAGAAATGCCCATGTATGACACTAGAGGAGGGAGAGTGCAACCCAGCACAGAGGGATATTGGCACTTGAATCAGGTAAGTTATTAAAGAGTTTTTTTACTCCATATGTACCTAAGTTCGGGGGACCAGAGGGCACTATAGTGTCAGGAATACAACTTTGTATTCCTAACACTATAGTTTCCTTTAAGGTGAGAATGTAGAAAGTAGACTTTTAGTGACATTCATCATCATAATGTCTTAAAGTTTCAATTAGTTCTCTATTATTCTTGTGTATTGTTCACATTGTGAATCCTACTTTGAATGCTAAATAAAACATAACACATGCACATTTTTTTTAATCCTTTTTATTGCCAAAAAACCCTTCTACAAGAGGTTTAAAATAAATCAACACCGCTAATTCTGCTTTGGAGAAACATTAGATCTTTTAGTTATTTTATACTCTGAGGACCAACAAATATGCCTTCTCTGATTTTAGTGTCACTCAGTTTGGGAAATGTATATTTTAAATGTTAAAATAATTAATTTTCTGTTTTTAAAACTTTTACACATTGTTTCAAAAGTCCTTTTTTTCTAAGAAACAGTAGAACAAGTACCACATTTGGAACGGCTAGTGGTTTATATTTAACTTTATTTTTTCCCTGGAATAAAGTGTTATCTTGAAGGCCATTCTTGTATATTACAATGCTGGTGGACAGCTCGACTAGACCACAAATGTATTTGATATCTCAGAAATGTGATATAATATTTTTATGTTCATATTTGTAATTAAGTCACTTAAATTGACATTAATATACAATTGGTCCCCATGTTTGAAAACTCTTTTTGGTTAGAGCAATTAGTTATTTAATAATGTGCATGTGTAATGTTTTATTTAGCATTCAAAATAAGATTCACGATGTGTCGTGTGGAATAATTGACATAAAAGCATCCATTTGGTAACCAAACTGCAGTATAGAATTCTAAGCTCAACTGGCACAATTCAAAATGCTGAAGAAACTAATGCCTAAATACATTCTTTACAGTGAATATCAAAACAAAAATATGTTTATATTTACAAATGCAGATTTCGACATGTGGTTTGCTATCAGATTGGTTGGAAACACAACAACCACAATTCTAAGACACATATATAAATGTAAAAAGTAAAATTCATATTATCTAAAGTGATGTTTATATTCACATTCACTAGAATGGGCATAAAAGAGTCAGTTGGAAAATTTCTTTAGATTGTGAGCTCTCGCAATATAGCAATAATCAGACATTAACACATACAGAGGTACTTAGGCTACATTCTTTATGGAACAATATTTTAAAGAAATGTTGGACCCACCATAAACTGCTTGAATATGGTTAGCAAATGATCGTGTTACAAACATTAATTTACAGTTCACTGGGTTCATAAATCATGCAATTATTTGCCGTAACCAAACTATGGAGTGCCGTACTGGCCCAAAACTCACATCTAAACTTTTCATTTTTATTATAGCAAAGAACATTCTCCAATTTGTGAGGAGGGGTGAGGGGTGGTGTATATATTTCATCATACACAATCTCCCGAGCTCTGTTAGATAGATACTGTCACTATGTCAACACATCTGCACTCTTTGGTGTATTTTTGCGAGAGATACTGTATGTGTTAGAATCTTAGAAAATCTTGATAACATTTGGAGAACTGAATATGACATTTGAAGAGTTCATATATGTTTTTTTCAATATTTTATATAGATTATTTCTCTAGCATTATTATTGTTATGTTTGTGCTGTATTCCATTTGTAGAGAGTTTTCAATAGTCAAGTAAATGTAAGGTTTTGTGGATTTAGTGCTTTGTGTTAATAGCTTTAGTGGAGTTAAATACACATTTTATGTTGCTTTAGAGATCCAACTCCCATAAATAAAATTGAGCTTAAATAGATTAACGTATGTGGTAGAGCATACAATAATGAACCACAGACAGATTAATGGTATTGTGATTTTTTTCTCTCCATTTTAATGTACTCTATATATTTATGTATGTGTATATGCACAGTTTTTGTGTAGTATTTATTTAACAAGCCCTCTGCTATTTCAGGTGTGGCCAAGCTCTGTATAAGGTTTCTTGTAGAAAACCACAACTTCAGCACCAGTCCATCTTAGAAGGCAATTGTTACTATGCTCTTCACTATAAATTGGATATGTAATTTGCATCATCTGGTGTGCAAGTGGTTCCCTGACACTCCAACTGATGTAAATTGAAACTCATATGAAATTTGACGGAGCCTGACTGAAACAGTGTTGCAGTCCACAAGAGTGACAGAAGACTGGGAACTTCTGTCACTCCAGTTGTTTTGGAACATAGATCCTCTTATGTATATTAGACTTGTGCATTCAGACTGGCAGAATTTAGGCAGATTTGTTGTTAAGCCATGTTGAACAGTTCTTGAATGTATACCCGAGCAGACAACTAGCACGATGGCCAAACATTTGTGTATTTGAAGTTCTACCAGTGGTGTCAAAACAAGAGGTGATTGATGGCTACAAGACAGCCATTAAATGTTGATTTTATTCATAGATCAAGTAAAAAGCGTACAATAGAGGGAGAAATAGGAGGTGACGATATATATATAGATAGAGAGAGAGAGAGAAAGAGAGAGAGAGAGATTTATTTTTTACTGCGTCAACTCTTTCCCTCCTTTGGTTACTTCTTCACACTTGATAAAGACCTGCGGGTCGAAACGTCGATTTTGTTTAAACACCGATAAAATCTACTAAAACAAGTCCTCTGGAGTGCTCTTCTCATCATTTTTCTATTTATCTACGCCCTGTAGCACCGAGGCTATCTTTGGATGATTATTACTTTAAGGTACAGTGCCAGATTCTGTATATATTTTTATATATATATATATATATATATATATATATAATGTTTACATTATGTATATATTTTGCAGTACTGATTGGCCCGTTTGCATGCCCTTTCTGGTTTGTCTAAATGTCCCTGAATAGTTTTTCGTGAATGACATTTGGCCATGCTGAACTGTCACATGAATGAGTATCTGGCATCCAAACCAAAACCTACATTTTTGGAAAAATTATTTGGACAAACTGAACAATCACATCATGCACAACTCTAATTTATAGTAAATTAGAATTAAGTTATTTGTTAGCTTACTTGTTTTCCGACATAAATAGTGCAGATTTAGCAATACTCACTGGCCAATTAGTGATATAATTCTGATTACAACATTGTAGGTTACAAACCTATCTGAAAAGGACACATTTATGATATGGAAAGAAGCTAAGGCAGCAAGCAGTGCAAAATAACCCTAGATGTAGATCTGTCCTGTTGGAGGTTGAACTAGATGGAGGTTCTACAATTAGCACCAAATTCATGTTATCTAAGAAGGAACTTAGACCAAAAATAATGTGATCCTTTTCATGTTCATCTATTTATTATTATTTTTTAATTTTTAAAAATTATTATTTATATAGCGCCAGTCAATTTGGAAGCGCTGGACTAACAGACACGTAATTGTAACCAGACAAATGAGCTTGCATGCTAGAGGGAGTGGGGTATAGTGACACAAAAGGTATAAGTAGGGGTAATGAAATAGGTTGCTAGAAAAGTATTCACTGAGAACTTTTTTATTTTCCCAGTTGCAGGAGAGGAGACATGGGGAGAAGGGAAGGGAATGAAAACCCGCTAACAGTTTAAATGATATGCTTTCCTGAAGAAGTGTGTTTTCAAAGATTTTTTGAAGGAGTGGACACTGGGTGAAAGTCTAATGGAGAAGCAAAGGGAGTTCCACAGAAAAGGTGCAGCCCTGGAGAAGTCTTGAAGGTGAGCATCAGATGTGGGAGTACGGATAGAGGGTTGACGTAGGTCTTCGACAGAGCGCAGGGACCTCAACAGGACATACTTGTGTATTAGGGAGAATAGGTAGGTTGGAGCAGCATTATGTAGGGACCTGTAAGCAAGCACCAGAATCTTAAATTGAGCTCTGTATCTAACTGGAAGCCAATGTAGGGACTGACAGAAGGGGGAGGCTGGGAGGTGCACGCAAACAGAAAAATGAGCCTCGCTGCTGCATTCATTATAGATTGCAGCGGTGCAATCTGGGAACATGTAAGACCACTGAGAAGGGGATTGCAGTAGTCAAGGCGAGAAAGAACAACGGCATGGACCAGCACCTTAGTCGTGTCTGGTGTTTTTGAGATGGAAGCGGAAGGATTTGGCTATCGACTGGAAATGAGGGGTGAAAAAGAGGTTGGAGTCAAAGAGAACACCTAGGCAGCGAGCCTGCGAGGTAGAGGTGATGGTGACGCCGTTGACTTGGAGGGAGACAGACACGGGAGTAGCAACACTTGAGTGAGGAAAGACCAGAAGTTCTGTTTTGGACAGGTTGAGTTTAACCCCTTAAGGAACAAACTTCTGGAATAAAAGGGAATCATGACATGTCACACATGTCATGTGTCCTCAAGAGGTTAAGGAAGTGAGCAGCCATCCAGTTGGAAATTGCGAAGAGGCAGTCAGAGACACGAGACAAGATTGGCGACCATTAATGCGAAGGAAAAAGGACCAAAGATTTTGTAAAACATATATTGAAAAGATAACAGACTGAAAAATACTAAATACATGCAATCTCATTGGGTAGTATTTTAAAAAGAAACTTATGATGTGTTAATATTATACCACTCCAAAAAGTAAGAGTAAATCAGGGTGCATAAGTCAAAGTGAGTATATATCAATTTCCTACTTAACCCTCTGTTGGGAGAGCTTTCTAATATTTTTCTACAATACAGAAACTTTATCACTCTGTTCCATATGACATCCATATGACAGATAATGAACCTGGACAGCATCCATTTACCTCAACTTCAACATTTCAATCTCTACACAACCACCGTGGACAATTTAGTCAACAAATACAAGAACAAAACTAGGTTTATCTGAGTTTCAGATTTTAATATAATTATATGTTCAAGCCATACCCCCTCTCCCCCCAGCATTGGGAGGTATGGAATCAGGATGGATGAGCGAACCCTCAAGAGGGGTGTCACCAGTGATGCAACTTATACCACTCTTTAGAGAACTAAATCAGGACAGTTGAACTCAATCTTAAAATAGGATAGCCCTATCAGATTGCAAAAACTTTAGTTTATAACTTTCTATAATTAAATATTCTGCTCGTTTTAAAAGCACACTGGCAACATATAACCTAGCGACTACCCCTGCTAAGCAGAACCAATGATGCAGAATTTACATATTTGCATTATTAGTGTCAAGTTTGTACAGTCTGGCATGGGAGCATGGGTGAGTTGGCCCATTTGACAAAACTGAGATTGATAATGAAGGTGACAAGAACCATTAGGCAAACAAAAAAAAACATATACCAACTTTACATGGATTACTTTATTTTACCTTGAAAGATAAACAAAATAAATCTTCTCTCCCATTCAGAACAGTTCATTTCCCGTTGTGGCATGATTACTTCATTTTGCATCTGAGGAGAGAAAAAAAATAAACTTTTTTTTTTTAGAGAAAATCTTTGAAATCGATTAACCACTATAACTTTATAAAAAATAATAGAATAGTAATTGTAATCATATAGACTCAACACTCCCTATTTTCATTCAGACAACCTTTTCATTTCTAATAAATAATTAATTTCAGATGTCAGAGACATTCACAATCAATATACAGAAGTATTTACAAAAAGACAAAATCTCTATAAAGGCAGAAGAGATTTTTTTTGTATAAGATCATACAAATGTATACGTGTATAAATATTGTGTAATATATATTATATTAATATATATATATATATATATACGATATATATACATACTTTTTTAAACCTCACTTCACATTCACTTCATACTGTTCAGCTATTTCCCACTGGTTCTCTTATCCTCTTTCCACCCATATAGTCTTTTTCATCATCTGCTTTCTATTACTCAGGACAACGCATTTCTGACACCCTTTTTATTAATTTTATTTTTTCTGTCTTTTCATGCTTTTCTTCCTTCTGATCTCGTTTTCATTTCACTTTTATGTCTTCCTTTTGTTGCTTTCATAACCCTTTTTTTTTCATTATCCATATTTACACTGCTCCTCATTACATCTGGGTTCCACTACTTTGGTCTGCTATATCTTTACCGTTACACTCTCAGCACATCACTGATTAGAATAATTATTTCCATCAATTATTAGTATCCTCCAATTTGGTTTTAAAGCACTGACTTTCATGCATGAATTCATATTGCACTTATTATATTTATCGGCTTTCTAGCGTCACCATAGTAACACGACGCGATCACCACGCTATCTCATTACGTCATTACGTTCACGTCCATCACGCATGCGCGGTCACTCTCTCCACACTGCACGGCGCCCATGCTCAGATTGAGGTGAAAACACATGCACAGGGTACGTTATCACTTAATTGCACTTTATTTCCTATATAAACACTGCATTTACTGTTACATATGTCTTGATAAAGACCTACGGGTCGAAACGTTGATGAAATTTTGAATACAACACAATTTACTTTTTGAACCAAGTGTTCTCATTTTTTCTATCCTTTATACTTATGCTGTGCAGCACCTTAGTCTATTTACTTTATACTATTTTAAGGAAGAGTGACAGATTCTCAACATTTTTGTGATAGATAGATAGATAGATAGATAGATAGATAGACCATACATATCGAACAAATTAGTTAAATAGATACAATGTAACAAAGCTGTGAAATACATTTAAAAATATTATTTTCCTTGTAAAGTCCTATCACTCTCAGGCAGCTGAATGGGACTACAGGTTACAGTTTAATTCCACAGCTTTAAGAGTATAATGAATCAAATAAAATATACTTATATAAGTTGTAATAACACAGAAACAATTGACTTAACACTGTAACAAATATATTCTAGCATTAAATCAGAAAAAAAATGTTCATGGATCAGTTTTGAGCGTAGTAGATTTACTTACTGGTTAGTTCAGATCATTGGCTTCACATGAAGTGCGTTAGACAGGAAACTTTATCTTTAGTCTTAAGTCCATTTTAGAGAAGTGATGCAATGGCAGAAGTGCTAACAGTTTGTGTTTTTCTTTGATAATTAGGATAGCATGCGCTGTGGTTTAAAGTGTTTTTCAAAATGTGTGTGGATTATGATATCTAAAATGTTTTGGTTTTCAGTATGTGGTTTATCAACACTTTACTACTTAAACTGCACAGAGACAATGAGACATCGGTGGTCTGCAGTCTTTGCTACGTACCTTCAGTTTTATATTTAGCATCACTGTTAGTTCTAGGGCTGCTTTCATGTATATCAGGAATTCTCTAATTCCAATCCCACAGCAGTGAATCCATTGTCTGGGATCCTGGTTACAGTGCAAGCCAAGGTCATTTACATGTCTCTGTTTGGGTACACAGTGTCCTAATAATATTATTATATTTATAGAGCGCCAACAAATTCCGTAGTGCTTTACAATGAGTGGACTAAGAAAAAAGTAATTGTAAGCAGACAAGTTGGACACACAGGAACAGAGGGGTTGAGGGCCCTGCTCAATGAGCTTACATGCTAGAGGGAGTGCGGTATAGTGACACAGTAACAGAGGGGTTGAGGGCCCTGCTTAATGAGCTTACATGCTAGAGTGAGTGGGGTAGTGACATAAAAGGTAAGGGTAGTATTGGGGAAGTAGATTGGTAGAATAGTATTTAATGAAGACAGTGTATTTTTTTTGGATACATTAACAGTTTAAATTATATGCTTTTGTAAAAAGTGAGTTATTAATGATTTTTGAAGGAGTGGAGACTGGGTGTCTTCATTGTTGTGGTGGATCTACAGGTCACAGGTTGGCAATACATGTTGGGGAGAGGTCATTTTCCAGCATCCATTTCTTTTTTAATGTGCAGTATGCTGTAGGGGGAGAGGAACCTCTCTAGAAACTGGTAATGGAAGACTCGAGCAGCAAGCAGAGGGTGAATAATCAATAAGTGAGTTTGCGTGTCTCTCTGTGTGTGTATGCATGGATGAGTGTGTGTCGTAACTGCATGTATATCAATGTGCATGTTTGTGGAGGAACACATCAGCCATTATGTTCTGGTGTAGGAAAACTACAGAGCTTTAGCATACCAGGATCTAGAACACTGCTTTATAATCCAATTAAAGGAACTTGGAATGTATTCAGGCAATTTTATCTCAATGAAGTGGTCTGTGTACAGTGGTCATTTAGTTGAAACCCTGCGAAGTAAAACTTTGCAGTTTTTTTTTAGAAACTAGTGTATGCATTACAGAATTAAATCCACCTCTGGTGGATGTCATTTTGACCATCTTTTGCCACACTTGTGCAACACTGATTGAGTAAAACTAATGTAATGCAGTAGACCCTTATAGAAAAGGAGCATCAATTGGCCAACATTTCTAATAGAGAAGGAATGGGTCGGACCATTGTGGAGAAGGCTATGTCTTCACAATGACAATTAGGGAGGAGGAGGAGAGGTAAGCACTGCCAACGGAGTCTTGGTGCTGGAAAAAGGTAAGTAAATCCTTTATTTTATAAATTTTTATCACAAACAGGGAGGGAATAAACTGTATTTAACCAAGGTCAAATACAGTGAAGCTTTAGGAATACAGGTTTGTGCTGTTTTAACAATCTTTGTAGGTTGGGCCTTACAGGTTGTAGGTTGTAGTAGGTTGGGCAATTTATCTGTGAAAACATGGACGACAAACCAAATACAGACCTGAAAACTAGGAGAAATAGGTTTTCATATTGATTACTCTGAGGTTCTCTCTTTTCTTTCACTTACTATCTTGCAGTGGTCTTGTTGTTCTTACATTATTTTGGTGCATTGTACTAGACACCAATTTGAGCGGTAGTACTTACGAGGCATAGATTAATGTTTAATTATAATCTTTTATTATTTTTATTTCTAATCCACAAATAAGATCTAAAGTATAAAATGTTAAAGCAGCAAATTAGCAAATAGTGATAGTTGTGCAACGTAGAAAATAGACTTTGTGATGGAATTTTGTTTTTTAAGAGGAAGTTATAGAAGAAGTTACAAGCACTGCGTAAAAATGTTAGTCACCTAAAATCTATTTCAAACATTTCTAATGAAATGGGAGGAACATGGGAAATTCAGAGGCTGTGCAAGGGTGGCTGCAAACGACTCAACAGAGTGCGATGGGCAAGAAAAGATGCAAACTACGTATGTCAAAGATACCGAGAGAGGAAAAGAGTGTTTAGAATAGATTCAAAGGGTTATTCACTAAGGTGAAAATTCAAAGCGAATTGAAATGAAGGTCAAAATAGCTGGAATGGAAAAACTCTCAAAGTGAGCAATGTTTTCAGGTTGGCCACTCTGGCCTTAAATTTTAAATTCACTTGGAGTTCACTTTGAATTCTCACCTTAGTAAATAACCCTGAAAGTAAGGGTCAAAGATCAAAGAAGAAGCAATTTTTGATGGAGCAGTGGCATTAACTGAATGCATAGTCTCGTCAATGACATGTTATGGTCATATTATGACCACTATTTAGTTTTTTGTTTTCTGAAAAATGCAAATGTGCAAAATAAAAGTTTACTACACTAGAACACTAAAAATAAATTACTACACTAGAACACAAGAACACTTTTTTTTTCTTTGTAAATCATTTTTTTATTGTGGCATTCGATTCACATTTTACAGAACAGTAAGACAGGAGTTAAATCAAATAGACATGAGACAAATGTTTCAACATATAGCAGAGAAAACTCCAAAGCAAGGCAGCAACATTTTTAAAATAGTAAGAAGACACATTTTATCAGGCGAGATCAGGCATAGTGGGCAATTGTGGGTATAATACACATTGCTACATTGTATTTCTTTAAACTGCAACTGTTTCTTTAACTAATAACCTTTTACCTATTTACAGTACACAACATGTTTACTCCATCTTGTCTTAATTTAATGCAATAACAATTCAAGGCTTTGCCTATGTCATCCTAACGTCTAGTCCAAATACAGATTAAAGATGTCTAGGTTATGACATTAGACTTATTTTGTTATATGACCTTCTCTTAACCCTAAGGTGTATGTCAACCTAACTTCTAGTCCAAATACAGATTAAAGATGTCTAGGTTATGACATTAGACTGATAAGGGTGTTTTTCCTTTATTTTTATATATGAACTGCTTTTAACCCTAAGATGAATTAACCCATACATTACCAGTAGTAATTAGAAATGCTATACTATATATACATGCTAGATCAATGCTAGATAGAGACATACTGACCGACTCTGGAGGTGACATACTGAGAGATTACCTGTATAATCAGGAGGGTATGTTATACTAATTATATTGCAAGCATTTATTCATTTAATCTTGTATACTCTGCTTTATGATATATTAATGGATCTTTATTCATTTATTCAATAAACTATATTAATAAGACAAAAGTTATTGCTTCCAACTCCTATTTTTATTGTATTCTCAATTATTTATGTATTTTAAATAGAGAAACTCTATACCGACTATACAATATTTAGCTAAGATATCTGTATGGTTAGCCCTGCTAAATTCTAAGTTATAAGACGTTATAGCGGTAAATTGGAGTACGAACGGTTACAGGCAAGGCACTCTAGATGTTTTAGACTACACTTCCCATGATGCTTTGTCAGCATTATGGGTATAAGATCATTATGGGGGATGTAGTCCACAACATCTGGAGTGCCGAAGGTTGCCTATCCTTGGGCTAGATATTCATGAATGGATTGTTGTAAAGTAGACATGCTAAAATCATCATATATCAGGCTAGGTCTCCATGAGTATACTACGATGGCATGTACAAACAAAAAAACAGAGTGTTTCAGGTTAGATTTACTTGAGAGTATTATGATCGCATAAACAGCAAGTTCCACCTTAGTGGATGGTTGCATGTTACATGAGTCAGGCACTGTCTCCCCAAGATGGGTATGATGGTGAGTGCTTTGTGTTTGGATGTGTCTGTCATATCTAGTGTATGCTAGTGCCAGGTGTAAGAATGTAGATGCAGGATGGCATGCTATAATCAGTAGGGCAATCCAGTGTATGGGCTAGTGCGCCAGCCATCTGAGTGCTTGGGGTGTAAAGTCCAGATTCAACCTATGCCCCAGCTTGGTGGCAGGTGTAAGGGGTAGGATGACAGCAAGAGGCAGAGTCCAAGTATGTCCTCCCCAAAGCCTCAGGCCATTGTGAAGGCCTGCAACCATGGGCCACAAACTTAGTTGCTCATAAGGGAGGCAAAGTTCTTCCCTTTCCAGGGGACAGCGTTGAACATAGGCGTGCGCACGGGGTGTGCCGGGTGTGCCTGGGCACACCCTAATCCCCGTGCGCACCCCTATGGTTTGAGTCCTGCAGGAACAGCGTTCCTGCACTCTTTTGAGCAGGAACGCTGTTCCTGCAGGCACTCAGTGTCCCCCGTCTCACCTCTTGCCACTGTCATGGGAGGGCAAGAGGTGATGATTCCCCCACCCCCCCACCCTGCAGGTCAGCGCGCGGCGAGGGAGCTCTCTGCTCTCTGCTCTCTGCTCCCTCTCGCCGCGCGCTGATGCCGGGAGCCGGAATATGACGTCATATTCCGGCTCCCAGCTCGAGCAGACAGCCCGCGCGGCGAGAGGAAGCAGAGAGCAGAGAGCAGAGAGCTCCCTCGCCGCGCGCTGAGCTGCAGAGAGGCGCCCGCCCCCACTGGACCCCAGGGACAAGTCCACCAGCACTCCAGGTAGGAGGCTGGGTGGACATTTAAAAAAAAAATTAAAATATAATAATTTGTGTGTGTCTGTGAGTGTGTGAGTATGTGTCAGTGTGTGTGTGTCAGTGTGTGTGTGTGTCAGTGAGTGTGTGTCAGTGAGTGTGTGTGTGTGTGTCAGTGTGTGTGAGTGTGTGTCTGTGAGTGTGTGAGTGTGTGTCTGTGAGTGTGTGAGTATGTGTGTGTCTGTGAGTGTGTGAGTATGTGTCTGAGAGTGTGTGAGTATGTGTGTGTCAGTGTGTGTGAGTGTGTGTCTGTGAGTGTGTGAGTATGTGTCTGTGAGTGTGTGTCAGTGTGTGTCTGTAAGTGTGTGAGTATGTCTGTGAGTGTGTGTGTCAGTGAGTGTGTGAGTATGTGTGTGTGTGTGTGTGTGTGTGTGTGTGTGTGTGTGTGAGTGTGTGAGTATGTGTCAGTGTGTGTGTCAGTGTGTGTCTGTGAGTGTGTGAGTATGTGTGTGTGAGTCTGTGAGTGTGTGTCTGTGTGTGTCTGTGAGTGTGTGAGTATGTGTCTGTGAGTGTGTGTGTCAGTGAGTGTGTGTGTGTGTGTCTGTGAGTGTGTGAGTATGTGTGTGTGAGTGTGTGTGTCTGTGAGTGTGTGTGTGTTTCTGTGAGTGTGAGTGTGTGTCTGTGAGTGTGTGTGTCTGTGAATATATATATACGTATATATATATATATATATATATATATATATATACACACACACACACGCGCGGCGTGTGTTTGTGCTTTAGGGTGCACACCCTAATGCAATAGGCTGCGCACGCCTATGAGTACAAGTCTGATTCATATACAGAAGTTTTGTTTAAGCTCTCGCTATTTCAGGTATTGCAGATGACCACTGTTGAGTTCTTTTTCATTTTATTTGTTAAGTAAAACGCATAGAAAATTGCAGGGGTGGACCCGGAGCTCAAACTGAGTAGGGGTATTACTGGATTTTGTGACAAATTCTAAAAAGTGAACACAAATAGCCATACAAATACAGATGGAGAAATTTACACAAGATGATAAATGCCTACAGACCTTTAGGCATGTAGCTTCTGAAATGACACTGGCACTGATGCGCTTATTCCTGCCTGATGAATCAATTAAATGCCTCCTTTCCCCTTTGCATCAGCTTTAACAAGTGGTGTCCCTGGTAATTATAATTATAACTAGACTACTAGTTATAATTCGAATTAGCAATTTCCAAAGGAGCATGTAAATCTAAAACCAAAGGACTAGGCAAAGCATTCGGTGTTTCCGAATTAGGGGTTCAACCCATGGCACAAAAAAAAAATAATGGGATGGAGTGGAGAGGAAGCTGATTTTTCCCAAGGGAGGGCCATTTCCATTGTACAGCACTACGGAATTTGCTGGCAAATTGAATTAATCAGCTTTATTTGGCATGACAGAAAAGAGCTCTGCCAAATGATATGGGCTGCATATCCTGTCAAATCAAAATGGGCAAAAAATATGATTGATGGTGAGGGGACAGAGCCACTAAATTATTATTTTATTCAAATATCAAGCGAGAAGTGACCATTTTGCTTGTAGTTATAAAGTGAAACAGACCAGCAGGCATAGACTGCTTTTACTCTTGCTCTGCCACAGTCAACCCAACTTTGAATAGCCTGGATCATTGATCCTTGTGTGAGACTGGTTAGGTTAGTGCTACACCAAGCCAGTGCCAGTAGCATTGTGCTACCTACACAAACTTTGAATTGGAGATAGATATATCCTGCTTAATAATAGTCAAGTTGAAATGTGAGACTGGTGGTTAGCCTACTGCTGTGCTTAGATACTGTCACACCAAGCTTGATTCACTAATTTCAAGTTTAACAGTCTTATTTGTTAACTGTTTGTAGAAAAAACAAAAAAAAACTTTTTGGGGAGAGTGTCTGGGCCAGTGTGTGCAATGTAGTGTTTTTTAAAGTCAAAGACAATAACGTTACTAGAATATCCATTAAACAACAACTAACATCTATTTGGGCTTCATAAAGTTGTGTTTCTTTACACCAGGGTCGCAGAGGTCGCGGCTGCGACCGGGCCCGGCCCACCAGGGGGCCCGGCCGCCCCTGCGACCCGGTGTGTACCCACTGGGCCAGCCTCTTCCCCTGGGGGGCCCAGGAGCCGGCCACACCAGGGCCCCGTGAGGCTGGCCCTGCTGACACCCGGCAGGCGGGCGCGCGAGGGAGCACTCAGTCCTTCCTCTTCAGCTCCCTCGCGCACCGCACTGATACCGGAGCCGGAAGATGGCGTCATCTTCCGGCGCCGGCATCCCTACGTGGCGCACGAGGGAGCTGAAGAGGAAGCACTGAGTGCTCCCTCGCGCGCCCGCCTGCCCGACCGGCCACCCGCCCAGGAGCCCAGCAGCACCGCTGGACCCCAGGGAATCCCCCCAGCACTCCAAAAGGTAAGGAGGCTGGGGGGATTAAATTTAAAAAACACACAAAAAAAACACATGTGTGAGTGTTAGAGTGAGTGTGTGAGTGTTAGTGTGTTAGAGTGTGTGTGAGTGTTAGTGTGTGTGAGTGTTAGTGTTAGAGTGTGTGAGTGTGTGTGTTAGTGTGAGTGTAAGAGTGAGTGTATGTAAGTGTTAGTGTGAGTGAGTGTGTGTGTTAGTATGAGTGTTAGAGTGAGTGTGTGTGAGTGTTAGTGTGAGTGAGTGTGTGTGTTAGTGTGAGTGTTAGAGTGAGTGTGTGTGAGTGTTAGTGTGAGTGAGTGTGTGTGTGTTAGTATGAGTGTTAGAGTGAGTGTGTGTGAGTGTGTGTGAGTGAGTGTGTGTGTTAGTGTGAGTGTTAGAGTGAGTGTGAGTGTTAGTGTGAGTGAGTGTGTGTGTTAGTGTGAGTGTTAGAGTCAGTGTGTGTGAGTGTTAGTGTGAGTGAGTGTGTGTGTGTTAGAGTGAGTGTTAGTGTGCGTGTCTGCTAGTGAGTGTCAGTGAGTGTGTTACTGTGTGTGTCTTACTGAGTGTGTGTGTGTTAGTGAGTCTGTTTGATGTCTGTTAGTGTGTGTTTGTCAACGAGAGTGTATGTTTTGTAAGTGAGTGTGTATGTATGTCTGTCGCTGAGTGTGTCTCTGTCAGTAAATGTGTGTGTCTGTTAGCTAGTGTGTTTGCGTCTGTAAGTGAGAGTGTGTGTGTCTTCAGCACTTACCTTTCTCCAGCGCCGGACTCCCTTGGCGCTGGGGATCCCTCAGCCTCTCAGCTCTGAATGCGACCGCGCACGCATTCAAACCGCCCATAGGAAAGCATTACTCAATGCTTTCCTATGGACGTTCAGTGTGCTCCTCTAGCGGCTGTCAGTGAGACAGCCACTAGAGGCTGGATTAACCCTCAGTGAAACATAGCAGTTTCTCTGAAACTTCTATGTTTTCAGCTGCAGGGTTAAAACTAGAGGGACCTGACACCCAGACAACTTCATTGAGCTGATGTGATCTGGGTGTCTGTAGTGGTCCTTTAAGTGTGTGTGCATCTGCATGCAGTGGCGTACATACCGCGGTCGCAGCCCTGTAACCCCTGCGACCAGGTGCCCACCGCCATGTGTTCCGGCCCGCGCGCTGGGGGGGCCCACGGACCAATATTTGCACCGGGGCCCCATGGGTCATGTGTACGCCACTGCTTTACACAATAGAAATTGAAATGGTAATCTATTTGAATAATAAAAACAAACCTGCCAACATTCATGGTGCATTCTAATCCCAAGAATAAATTAATGAAGGATAAAGGTTGTGAGGCCCAGACAGTCCACCATGAGCAGTAGTGGCATGACTACGAGATCACTAAATCTGTATTTAGTGGTTCACTTTTGACTTGCTACTGCTCTCTGGGCTTCTCCTGCCAAAACCACAACACACAGACACCCAATAGGCATCTCTGATCAGGTGCCCAATCAAGTTCTATGACACAATTAGGCCCCTATTACATTGGCAGTGCTGGGAAGGAGTGAAATCAGGTCATGTCTTCCTAGCTTATACATCACCAAACTGTGAGGCAGAGCAGGAGCCAGAGAAAGGAAAAAGCAGACTGAGAAAGCCTGCACCAGACTCCAAGCAGCCAGATCGCATAACAGGACCCTAAGTAAACCATCCTCCTGGATTCAAAAGGTATGGAAGCAGGGAGCTGACTAACATATGGAAATTATGACTTGTGCATTTTTTTCTGCACGTGTATTCTGTGTGTGTCAGTGTTTATGTGTATCTGTGTCAGAGTGTGTGTGTATCTATGTGTGTCAGTGTGCATATGACCCTGTATCTGTGTTGTCAGTGTGTATGTGTATCTGTGTCAGTGTGTATGTGTATATGTGTCAAAATGTATTTGTCAGGGTGTATGTGTATCTGTGTCAGAAAATGTATATCTGTGTCAATATGTATGTATGTGTGGCAGTGTATCTGTATGTCAGTGTGTATGTGTATCTGTGTCAGGTGTGTATGTCTATACATTCCTGCTTTTAAATGCCAATGTGGTAAATTACCAAACTCTATAAATTATTATGTACGCATACACATATAAACTCTGGTCCGTCTACTTTAACAAATATTTATTCAGAGACAAAACAACAACAACATACAAATAATGACACACAATCTAACTAACTATACCACCAAAAACAACAACAGCAACAACAACCTAACTAACAAGAACAACTACATCTTATAAAATCACCAGATCCCACTCACAGCTCACCATAATAGAAATTAGGCCATGTCTGCTTAAGGGTCTACTCAGTAGCACAGCCAAGAAGGAACAGGGAGGAATGAAGATAGGGGGAAGTGGTTACCTCTTTCCTGACTTGTAAAGGTATTGAATTACCCAATTACCATATCAAAGGGTACAGCTTATCCCACTGTAAGAAAGGCATACATGAGCTTGGTCACATGACCCCTGGTCGCCATATTAGTTTGATAACAGAATGTCACCACAGCCAACACTATACACAAATACATCCTGCCATCAAATGCCAACACTATATACAAAAACACCCCTGGGTTCAAATACCAATGTTATACACATATGCACACCTGCATCTGGACACCAAATACACACCACTGCATTCAATTGTCAATAGATACATTCCTATATTCACACAAACATACTCCATACAAAAAGATGCTTACATTCAAACGCACAAACACTGCTCACAAATACAGTCCTGCAGGAATGGAAGATCCCCAGTTAACAAAATATTTGGGAAGTTGCATGACAGTTAAGGATTTTATCTTTTGGCCACCCTTGAACTAGAGAGGGTCCCAAAAAGATTTCCTACACCAGTGCCCTCTCTACATTAGTTTTTTTCCCCTCCCTGGTAGGGGACTGTTTTCTGTTAACCCACACTGAAGGATGGTCACTCAGGTAAGCCCACTCACTTCTTCCACCCTAAGAAGAACCTAGCTTTTCCATATAACCACTCTGTGGCTTCAGTGACCATCCTGGAGTGTGGAAAACACTGCGCCCTATCAAGCCAAATGCATCTGCTGAGATAGCAACCATAGCAAGACTCAGGGGTAAATGTGCTACAATAAAGACTAGTGAAAGAAGGGAACAGTAGCAAGAGTGGTTTCATTTTAAAACAAGAGACTTTTAAACAATGTATGTAAAAAGTGAGTGGGCAACTGATGACCCATTTCCTTCCTTCCATTTTTTTGAAACATTCCCATTTACAAA